TTATAATCATATGAAATGGTTCAGAGCTTATAGACAATTGCGAGATGCGGGTACTAATAATGAAATGGCTGTTGAGGTTATTTCTTGTAAAGATTATAGAGAAAATAGGCTCACAACTACAACTCGAGCTGAGAGGCATCGAATTTGCCTCGAATTATTAAGAGTTTGCACACCAGTTAAGGATATCGATGATAGAATACGATATAAATCTAATGATGTTAAGATGCGTTTGAATTCTTCTGAGTCATTATCATATCTCCATAATTTAGTTCCCAAAATGTCTTGGGTATTTGATAATACGGATGCATCGCATAGAGCTAAAAATTAGGATTAAAAACAGATCAGGCAAAACTTGGTTTACTGAATTCAGCACTTCATGCAACTTATGGGCTGAAATTCAAGGCTATAGATAAAAATCTCAAATATTACCATCTAGTTGGAACATTTGATAGCAAAGACGCTCCTGAGTTACCTTCATACCAAACGGGTGAAGAAATTTATTGGGAAAATGGAGAAGATACTCGATATGGATATAGTAAACTCCCACCCGATGAAATATTAATGGAAAATCTTTTAGAGAATAAGCAGACTAAAGATAGTTTCAGTTCTAATATGAATATTATGTCAATTGCGAATGATATTCAAGACTTATTTGATATTGTGTAGGTAGATTTTATTATAAAACAATCTGGATATACTACTAGACTTCACAAAAATAGGTCATACATTCGAAGATAAGTCTTCTGCCAATATTTATATAATAGATTACGCAGAAGACTTATCATCAGAATATATTCCTTCCCTGGATTCGCAAAGTGAATCCCCTTAGAGCCTCAGATAAGTGGTATGAAAAATAACACTATCATTTGAGAAGACGCTAAAAGCGATAAACTAGCAAGACTTCCATCTGATAATATCTAGTAGTATTTTTTTGCTCACTTCTTGGTAGACAATTCAGAGGTCTTTATGAGTTGAAAGCCCTCATCCATATACTTCTGTCTCATCCGATAATTCAGTGCATGAAATCTAGCAGAGTGTTTAGGCAGCATTCTGTAGTAGAAGCAGTAGGAAATCCACAAACAAGACATGGTTTTATTTCCATATTTTTTTCATGTAATGCCCAATATCTTGCACAGCTAGTAGTACGAGTACAGACTCTTCCACAAATAATACCATTTCTCTTGATATGTGAGCAAGTAACACGATCCATATAAGTATTTTAGGATATAGAAACCTTTTAATTTTATTGCGGATTAATTTTATAATAAATGTGTATTTAAATTATTCGGTAGTAAAATAAGACATAAACGTCTTTTCTCACTTACGCTATAGACATAATGCAAAGAACAATCCTCAATATACTAACTGGCCGATGGATTGACCTAAATGGAAAGTTATTTCAGAAGCTAATCCAAGAAGGTTACAGATACACTAATAGACTTTCAGATTATTTAGAGAATATTGGAAGCATATATATTGATGAATTCGAATTAAATCCCTTATTTGATTTCCACTACCTAGCTCTAATTCCACCTTTATCTATCCTAGCTAGTAGATCAGATATTCGTAAAAGAATCCCTATTAGTATAGAATCTGCCATTGAGGGTGGTATGTGTTTATTTACCCTGGAAAAAAATAGACAGTCCTCACTTCAGAATTTAATCCAAATGAATTATTCCAGTGATAGCTTGTCTACATTAATAGGGATAACTTGGAATTGTAAAGACATAAAAGCTTGGAGAAATGACACTCTCATGAAATTTCTCTATCACCTAAATTTAGCCCCTTCGAAGTATAGACCAGGTGCTTTATATGATACATTCACTAAGATGAATGTTTTAGGATCAGAACATATATTAGCTCTAATGTGAGCACTTTACTAAGACATAATTATGATATAGGAAAATTTGGTTATAGTTATAGAACCCCATTCCATAACTATATATTTTTTTCGCATATCATATTTACCTGCAGATTTTAAATCGATGAAATACCCTTTTTGACTAGGTCATAGGTTATATATTTTTCGCTCATCTGACCTCACCAACACTAAACGGGTTCTAGAAGGATCACATAGTAAATTATTAGGAATATTTTTTGAATTGAACTTTTTTATATGTAGTATAACCTAATAGTTACACATAATCTAATAGTTACTTCATATCCACATTATCATATTCACGATTGTAACAAAGTACGTTGCAAACCACAAACTCAATAAAGAGATGAGCAATGATGAACTTAACCAGCACGCTTCAGCATTACTCGAGTTTTTGATAGATAAAGTGAAAAGAGACAAGGGTCGACAGCGCTTTCAAAAAGGATATAATTTTAGCAAAGAGCAGGCATTTATATTAGTTCCTGATCAGAGAATTTGTCAAAGTAGAAGTCGAGTAATTCCCAAAGAAGGAGGAGGTGAAGCAGGAGAAGTTAATATATGCCAAGTGTCTGAAATCATCCCAGAAAGAGAAACTGTCGAAATGATAGCCCAGCGAATTATCCAGGATAATCTTAGCGAAAAAGATGTAGTATCTATAGCTAAAGCCTTAGCTGAATTAGCCTCTAATACTAGCGCTGGTTCATCCTGAATCTCTAGGCTTCGAAGTGAGTTGCGAAACCTTGAAGCCTCTGAAAAAATTATCTCAGCTACATTGATTCAAGAGATAACCTGTTCATCTAATAAAATCCAAAAGGAGCATAGAGAGTAACGTGAAAATGAAGGGATCGGTTTTCCTAATCACTTCTCGCTAGAATCGGTTAAGGAAAGATTGGATGGGTATGATGTATCCAATGTTCCTAATTTACAAGCTCTCGCTGATGTAATGAAAATACCTTTTAGGAATAGAATTAAGTTTCAAAAATTCTGGATTAATTCAAATTAAAGGCCAATCTGATCTGATTTAGAATTTTCAGTTTAACTGTAATTAATCTAAAATTTCAAATTATTAAATACTAATAAAATCAACTCTAATAGTTTATATATAATTTTATTAGTATCTAATAAAAGTCATCTCTAACAGTATATGATAATAAATGCCTTCTTTGATAGTTTAGATATGACTATATTAGAAAATATCATACTAAAGTATTAGAGATAACTTTTATTAGAAAAAATAATAATAAAGTTACATTTGAACTATCAGATAACTTATATTATAAAAAATATAATAGTATCATATCTGAATTATTAGAAATACTATAAAAAATAATAATAAAGTCATATTCAAACTATTAGAAGTAACATTTATAATAAATAATAATAATAAAGTAATATTATTAAAGGCAGTTTTATAGAAATTACTTATAAAGTCATCTCTAACTTTTCAGATATGATATTTTTTAATAAAGCTGATCTGAACTATTATAGATAGCTTTTATTATTACATTCGAACCATCATAGGTAAATAAATATTTATCTATGTCTTAAAATATAAAATATTAGTTTAATGAGTTTATATTATAAAAAGATTTGAATAATATTTTATTATTGGATAATTTATCAAAAGATTATTATCACAACTATTACTAAAGTTAAGAAAATTGAAATTGGATTTACTATTACCAACTGATGCAATTAACCAAATGAAAATTATATAATAAGAAGTTGCATAATTAATAAATAATTTAGCAAATACTTAAATTTAATAGAATTTAAGACTAAAATGGAATCTACAAAATTACATATAAGTTTTCAAAACTAATATACTATTGAATTCTGAAGATTCTGAAGATATAATTAAAAATACATTGTAAAGAATACTACCAGTAAAGCTTAACTTATAACACAAAATAGGATACTATATTAATCTTTTTGAAAGTGATAACAGCAAAATGTCAACCTAACTAAAATAAAACAAGATAAAGAAATTGATGTTACAATTACTAGAATCCTTTTAAGATCTGAATCTAAAGAATACAAATTTCATTTCAATCTCCTAAACTTACATCTAAAGCTAGATTTGCTAGATTTGTTTCACATTATAAATAATCATATGGGTGGTATGCTATTAAAATTGAAATATAAGACATAGTAAATCATATGATCTATACCTCAATTTTAATAGCACACTACCCATATAAAAACTTATTCAGATTTAATAAGATATAATACCAATATGACTTTTGAACAATTATTTTAAATTCTCAATACTTACAAGAATTAAAAGATCAGATTAATAAAGGTAGAAAAGGAAATTAGAACCAGTGTAGCTTATATATATATAATGATAATAGCAAATACATTAAGAAATTTTTATTGATACCTTAACTATTTTTTAGAAATATTTGGCAGCAAAAATTTTGAAAGCAGCCTTTCACACTCTACATATATAAAATAAAATCTCTAAATAGAAAGTGAAAATTTTAATTATTGGTATATTAAGTAAATTATTATTATAGCAACATCGTAAACAATAATGATAATGTTTGGTGAAAGGCTTAGTTATTAAGGTATCAGATAATTAGTGTAAACTTTTCAGGTTTTAAGATAAGTTTAGCATATTAAGAAAATTATCAATTAGTATCGAAGTAAAGAAAGCCAAAGTTATAATGTATGTTATTGCGCGTTTTTTTATTTGTTTAAAAACATTGGAAATATCTAAAAAAAAAAAAAGAAATTCTTTATTTTAATTAAGTTATTTCACTCCTTACCTTCACTCACAAATAACCTTATTCTTTCTTCAGCCTCATGTAAACAATTTCTCAATCGTACACATTCAACACGAAAATCCCACAATAATATATTATTTGCTTCATCATTATTTTGTAATTGTTGAACTTCTTGCCTTAAATCTCTTTCTCTCACTTGAGCAAG